CTGTTGTTTTCCTTGGTACTTCCTTATATATTGGACATATGGACTGATTTTTTTTGCAATTCTCTCAAAAAAAATCACTAAGGCATTGTCCAAAGAAATATCCAAGATTGACCCTCGTGCTGAAGCATTGGCTATATTGTGAAATTCAGGTCTGGGCCTCAATAAAATATGTAGATCTTAGAGTCTTTAGGAATGTTCAGATTTGGCACCTTCTGAAGCAATCTTTGAATCTATCTTATGCTTCTACATAGCTCTCCGCGTCTCTTTGCTCGAAAATATAGACCTCATTTTTTATCTGATGAACTTGAGAAGGTTGGAAGAATTTCAAAGTTAATTTCTACACCATTTCATTCTATGAAACAATACTTCCTGGAATTAGTGAATTTAGCCATTCTCGTATGCCATCATTTAAAGTGTTAGGAAATAGGCGCGGTCGAAAAGCATTAGTAGACATGCCTTTGTGACTGATCATATCGCAAAGTATCAAGAAGTTTACAATAAGTTTAAGAGGATTTTCAATTGATCTTTCAGAGAACCTAATGTCCTAATTATTTTGAAATAAATTCGTGACATTTGGTCAAATGTGGAAGTTGGCCTGCCTAAAAGGTGAATTGAATAAATTTTATATTGCACAGAAGATGAGACGGGATTCGCATAATCCTTAAGAGCTTCTCCACGGTCGACGACTGCTCTTGACGGATCTTGTTGTTATGACAGATCTCGTGGTAATTAAATTTGGTTTTGATTTTGATTTTATTTTTGCTTTTCTATCATTTTTCTTATTTTACTGTGTTCTCTTCTTCGTTGTTTGAAAATTCTTTCAATTTAAGGATCCATTGGTAGGAGCTCGATTTCTCCAAAACCTTGCATAAACTACCAAAATAATAGAGATTATGTATGCAATTAATAGCCTAAAATAACGTAAAAGAAAATTCAAACTTTACATGAAGTAATAAACTCAAATTAAATATTTTATTCATCGGCATCGACGTCAAAAACTTGCTCATGTGAAACCCATAAGCATACGTGACCGTTGTTAGGTAATAGATTTAGTGAGTTTAGAGTATCGTCCTACAGAGAATAAATCCAATTCAAATTTACCAGTTATGAATGTAATTCAAATTATGTAAAACAAAAGAGATTTTGATTTTATACTTTCTAAATAATCTAAGAAAGCAATAAAGGTTTGATTTTAATCAAACTATGGATGATTGTATTGGATTTGGTCTTCGCCTATTGTTTTCTATTTCAATTCTTAGTTTTTAATCTAGTTTCGTTCATACGTTTTTGACAATCGGTAAAGCTAATGTATTTAACTTTCTTTTCCAAGAAAAATCAATTCTATCCTAACTAAAGCCCGAATATATTCCTAACCCAAATTTGAATGGTTAGAACGTATTAAATTTTAGATTATCTATATAATTGCACAAGTGATAAATGTTATTCATAAAATTTATTGCAAATATGTTAATTTTGTTGCATTTTAATCTTATTATGAGTTTTTCAAGACTATGTGCCTGTCTGAGATTGATTTTAAGTGAAAATTTGACCGTTGCATTCTACAGGTGGGTCCCTTTTTTGTAGTAATCATTCACTCATTTTTACTATTTGTCATTACAACTAACTGAGTCAAATATTGCAGCTCTTTCAAACTAACACAATACGGAGCAACAACTAGAAATTTACTTCAAATTTGCCCCAAAATCAATCCAAAACAGACACTATAACAAACAACTAATTATCTAATACATGGTCAATCAACCAAATAATGTAATAGGTATGCAAAATTAATCAAAAAAACATGAGAATTGAACTAAACTTCTAGTCTTGAATTTAAAACAAATAAATAATAGGGTTATCTCATCCAATACAAAAAAGGGATTTAACCTAACATGGTTTTAAATAAACTACAAGAAGAATAATGGAAGAATATCACCTGGATCATGAAAAATATAAAAGATGTTGATGTTTAAGTCGAAAGTTGAAATTTTCAATTTTTGATGTAATTGGCTTAAATTCTTTGCTATGGCTTGATCTTCTTTTTCAAAATATAGCAATTGACCTCTTGTTCTTGATGAATTTGATGATATTATTGTATATGAATAGGCAAGAGAGGCTTCTCCCATGTGTAGCCCTTGTTTCGTATTTGTAAGAGCTTAAAAATAGGTCAAAATCGAATCCAATTTAGGTTTGAAAAGATTTGAATCGTGAATAGAAACTGCTCATTCATATGCAAAATTGCTCGTGAGTACGCACAGGCATAACTCCCGCACGCGCACCATTAAGCCAAATGGCTCTCGGATTAGTGAAAACAATGTACCCTTTTCGCGCCATGATTGCCCACTTGCGCATCGGTTTGAATCGTGACGTCCTTGAGTAGTCTTCGGTATTTTGGTCATTATTTTCTTTTTCGCTATCCAATTGAAGTGATTTAAAATGCGTTGGAAAGATGACTCCAAGGCCTATAATTCTTCTAGAAATACATTTCTCTAGTTCAAACGTTTGCTATCTGAACGAATCTCAAGAGCATAACTTTTTCAGCTGGAAATTGATTTGTAAAAATACTTCGGCTATATTTCACTCATTGACTTCAAATTACATCCAATTGATCATATGTGATCTTTTATCATTATTTTGTGTGTTAGGTGACCTTGCCAAGAAATATTTTTGAAATTATGTGTTAATTTATGAATTATGGATATGTTACATACTTAGATTAATTGATTCTTATTCATGTATAACTTGATACTATTTGCGAACATGAATTAAGTTCAGCATTGTAAAGTAATGGATTGATTAATATTATTGACAGGTTGAAATAGTAAATTTTAAATTACTATAGTATACATCTTTTGACCAAATTTAGAATAGTTTGGGAATGATTATGAATGGGGATTCTATGTGTATAAATTCTTTTGTGGATTATCTAAGGCCAATATGACGAAAATTAGGTGAAAATCTTAAGTTAGGGGTCAATTTTTGAGAATGTGTGTTTAATGAGGGGAACAACACTAATCATAGCCAAAATAATAATAATAATAAAAATAAAAAATACAGAAAGAAAAATGAAAAGAGAAAAGAGAAAAGAGAGAAAAAAGTTATCTCATTATGAAATTTTTCTTCATAGCCGTTGTAAGTTAAGTAATTAAGCCTGCATGGATATCTAAAAACCTAATGCCCTATGATCATTTGATCTGGGAATTAACGGCCTAAAATTCGTCACAAGGTTCATTTAAAAAGTTTAATGGAGGGAAATCTACACATAAGATACTAAAAATTTGACCATCGAGAGTCAGAAATTGAAACAACTCGTGAACATAGAGTGTTTTACTTAATTTTTCACACATACACACATTAGTTTTATGTTGAAAAAGTAGATATTTTTTTGGTAATGCAACCTTGAAGCTGTTTATAGATTTAATACAATGATTCCAATCCGGAGACAAAACGGCATGTTATCTAACCAAAACCTTTGTATGTTGTGTATTTATTAAGTTACGTTATGGTTTTGTTTGAGGATAAACAAATGTTTAAGTTTGGAAGTGTTTGGTAAGTGTATTTCATACACTTATTTAAATCTAAAAATATAGACATATAATAGCTCTTTTGAACAATTAGAGCTTACTCAAGTATAAATACTTAAAAGTTGTATCGGACCACAAAATGAAGATTCAAGACTACTAAGGGTCAAGTGCAATTAGAAGTCAAAAGAAGTAAAATATAATTAAAATATTTTAACAAATAAATTTTTAGCTTCACAAGAATGTTCCAGATTTTAATTGGAGATTGAGACCCATTTTCCGCCTAGTAAACGTTCGAAATGGAAAAGAGCTATCTATAGTAAAATTGTAGCATTTTGAGTTATCTTTACAACCCAATTTGAATCGTCCCAATCTAATATCGAGAGAGAGTTATATAAAAATATTGAAGGATGCGCAATGTTGAGTTTCACCCGAGATACCACCATCATGGCGCCGAGGCGCCACCAAATTACACTCTGTCTTCACAACGCCTACACCTGGATGTATCTAAGGAGCATTTTTCGCCCGTTTTGAAGCTCATAAAAGCCCTACATTCTATACAAGCATGAGGAGTATAAATACAAGTTTTTGATACTGTTGAGGGAATTCCACACATTTAGAGATAGAGAATACAACTAGAGATTGAAGAGCGCAATTCAAGGGAGGAGAACATCAAGAAATTCAAGTTTTGAAGCATTAATTAGGAGAAGAAGATGAAGAAGATCTTGGTGTAAAATTGATTTCTTTTTCTACATCTATATTCATAAACCGATGATGTATTCAATAACATCTTGTTTTTCCCTTTCATTATTAATAAAATTTCATACTATAGCGAACAATGTAACAGAGAGCTCGTGTTCAATACTGCTATATTGCCAGGTTGGTCTTACTGTGGGTACCTATTTTTTTTGGATCATGTTCCTGTAACTTCTACTATATCCAGTACCAGGGATGTCTACATGCTCACAATGGACGAGCTTATTATATCCATAGCTAACATGGCATTGGACACATTTTATCCTGACCAAATATCACATCAACTGTGAGCAGATTTTATTTTGTCCACCATGGACAAGAGAACAATTTTATAACGAATACATAGCATATTTACAACTTCTGTTTATTTGGTAGAGATCCCGATTGAGAAAACTGTGACGCTGACTTTGTTGTTATCAGATTATTAGTCTATAATTAAACATGAACAAACAATGGATGTTAATGGATAGGTTGTCACGTGAGTATAACGCAATGGTCTAGCGGCTCTCGAAGTTTGCAGTACGAAATGTAAATAATTTCTGCTTTATACGACGTCCATGTATGAAATGTGTTAAGTAGGACAAATATTTAGGCTGCGAAGGATTATTTGTTTATTAATGGAATAGATCTGACATACCATACGTGATTATGGCACAGTGAAAGATGTGTGGTAGATAACTCAATGGGTGATGGGTCTTCATTAGGTGGTCAAGGACAAGAAAATAATTCAAATGCTTTTGCTGAAGATTCCATACTTTTGGTATCGTCTACAAATGAAAATTTCATTGATAAATGAACAGACTTTCTTCCCATTTTTTCTTTTACATTGATGATTTATGCATATACTGTTTCATTTTACATATGCTTGCAGTTGTACTTTATAATCAGGTTCAGTTGGAACACAAAAGTCTTGATTGCTTTGTTATATAGGCAGAAAAGTTTCACACGCCAGCATGAATCAGAGAAAGAGGTTGTGGTTTCTTGCAAAGAATTAAAGCAGCTCATTTTGCAGTCATCATCTGTCTGTGAAGCGTAAAGGATACGAATCAATAGTTGGTGGTTTTGTGGAATCAGGTAACCTAATGAATCTGAGAATTGGATAGAAGAAATGAGAGACATGGGACTGAAACTACATCTTTTTGAGATTAGGTAATTTACGGGTATGGGAGATTGGGATCTTTTGAAGACATGTAAAGAAGCACAGTTCAAATGGAAAAAGAAGGGTTTGAATTGGATTAGTTTGTTGTAATATGGTAGTTTCATTTTGGGCATGGTTTCTTGGCTTAAAAAAAATCAGGCTCAGGAATTTTGCTGTCAATTAGAACTTACAATTCTGACTCAAATTCGTGCCCAGAAATTACCTCAATGGGGCAAGACTTGAAAAATCTTCCCAGTTAGTGGATAATTTGAATAAAGATAAAGCTAATTTGGTTATGAAATTGGTGAAGTCATCCGTTCTGATCAGTCCATGGAATGTTCAGGGTTGAAGTTGGATTTGCACGGAAAGCATTTAAGTAGTGCACACTAATTGGTTTGGTGAGATGCAACTGAGATTTATTGCTGGAAATCAGGTGGCTCTGGCTGAAGTTCTGTTGGTGTGTCGCTGGAAAGCGCAATGTTGTGAAAGGTGAATCCCCTTCAAAGGTTTGGCAAAACAGATTATGCTGTGGCTGAAATGTCCGATGAGAATTGATCGAAAGAATATTGGATGTCTTATTGCAAAAGGAAAAGTTTTAAAGGTATGGTTAAACAAATTACCTCCAAATGAGTATGATTCACCAGATGATTCTGCAAAAGCTGATACCTCAGAGAATGTTGCAATGTGTTGACAAAATATCTTGTTTTCCCATCTACACAGAAAGCCAGAACCTGAAGCTATGGTGTTCTTAATGCAATTTTGGTAGTACTAGACAATATAATAACCAAGATTTAGCTACTTCGGTGCTCTAATATTGTCTTGACTATCCATACCAAGCATGCTTTGTGTCAGTTGCTCTTGTGGGTGGTGACAAGAATCAAAACCTGTCATGGAAAACGTTTCAAGAGGTCAAGTAGTGGTTGCCAGTATCTATATAGCTAGTCTCAGATAAAAAGAAACTTTCTTTGCCATTCCTGTCATTATCAAACGACGAATAAATAACATAAATCTGTAGCGTACAAACAGGTATTACTGACTCAAATTATTAGACTATTATCTTGCAATAGAATTTGATTTTTAAAATATAAAGAAGACGAGAGCACAAATCCTTGAACTCTATCAAAAGATGACCAGGTTTTGAAGGCTCAAAATTGCAACTTATCTAACCAACAAGATATACAACAATGCAAGAGTAGACAAATAGTCAGTCTCAATTTACATATATTTTTATATGATTCAAGCAGAGGAAATAGCATATTGCTTAAGATACTGTCTCATCCCCATATCAAAAATGAAATTTACCAGTGCTATTGAAACGTTCTCCATTTTAGTAAAAGAAGAAATTATTCAAGGCAAATCTGTCATCTTGAAACCTCTCAATGAGTTGAAAACAATATGCACGATGAAGTTACCTACTGCCAGCCAGCATATCCAGGAAGTAACCTCACCGTAGCTGCAAAATATGAAAAGCGATACAAAAGTTCATCATTTTTCCAACACAACACAGTAAACATCAGATTTACAGGTAGGATTAGACCAGCTGACATGCTTAAATATAAAAATTCTTCTTCACATGATTTCTTCTGATTCACTAGTGTCCATAATGTTGATGTACTGCTATGTGGACTCGTGCACGTAAAAAACTTCATATGCTAGACTTCGCATTTGCAACACGCATTTTACCAACTTGGATTGCTAGATTTTCTTAAAATAAAGGCATAATAAAGTACTAGGAATTTAGAATGATCAATGATGCAAATGAAATGAAAAATAGCTCTTCAAAACAACTAAGCCCTGAAAATCATAATAAATCAACAATACCAACACCACGAATCAACAGTAGAATTCAGATCATAAATGAAGTCAAGATGAGAAGGCAAATACCGATAAATTAATGGCAATCACTCTACTTGTAACTCTTAAAACCAAGGCATCCACCATATATACATCTTTCCGAGATTTTTGTGTGAAATTGCTTCGGCAATCAGACGACGGGCTTGCCCCTCTACAGCAAGAGGCAACGATGGAGCTGCTCCAACACCAACAACAACTCCTTGTAAACGTGCTTCGATATTACTGATGGCTCGCTGTAGATTCAACCACAGGATATTAGCTTTTATCTAAAAATAATTTGCTATCATATGATCTAGTTAAGTCATATCAGCCCAACTTGTAACGTATATAGCCTATTTAAAACTACTCTTAACAGATAACAAAATAAAGAATAAAGGCTCAAACCTGTGCATGGGGATTTTGAACCTCTACCCCACTGGACTTGTGAGATTTTGTCCATTCGACTAGAGGATCGTGAATAAAAGTCTCAAGAACACTCATGAGTGTTTCCTTGTGCAACCTCAGAATCGAAAGTGTGATCTCGCAGACCCTAAGAAAAATTCCCTCGTATCCAGTAATGCCAAGCCCATCAATCATGTTCTACATGTCCACACAAATTGAGGTCAATGAAGTAAAACTAAGAGGGAGTGCCACAACTGACAGATCTGCCTAAGATTCACATTAACAGAATATGTAGATTCATAAAATATGAGAAAAGCTCTTGTAAATCTAAAAAAATTTGTGGTTGCAGAGCTGGCCACTACTATGCATGTTTATATGTAATCATTTGTATTCCATTTGTCCCCTACCTGCGTCAGCCTGAAAGGCACCAGTTCTGGCTTCTCCAACTGCAGGCCTTTATCAAACAAACAACTGAAATCAACATGAACACAGTCACCTGTGGTAGAATCAAAAAGGATGTTTTCACCATGTCGATCTCCAAGGCCCACTATGTGCCCAACCATGGACCAAACTGCAGTAGTATGTGCATAGGCAACCCGAGCCCTGAACCAAGCAGCTGGTTCAGAAAATGTGTTCAAAAACCATCTATTGAATGCTGGAGGGAACATTGGTAAAATTTTGGTTTTCAGCATTTCATCTTCTGGCATTTTGCCTTGGCATTGGTCATAAATACGCTTAATTTGAGGGTTTGTTTTCTGACGATCAAACTTTCCACAGCTTATATAAATGTCCTGGAGTATATGTCGGAGGCCACGAGTGTGAGGCACCCACTCAACCATGCCACAATCTTCCGTCAGTGGAATCACTGCAAAAGTACGAATGTAAAGCTTCCTCCTACGACTTTCAGTGCTTTTGGATAGTAAACGATTTATCATCGCATTGAATTCCATCATGCGGGCATCTTTCCTAAGGTCATCCTTTGGCTTGCAGAGAAATGGATACTCAAGTCCATCACTACCCAAGAGAATTACCTGCAAGCAATAGAAAATATGGCTTGAGTATAATATGACTTCACTTTCATCTTACAACTCACATAACCACATTCTAGGAAGCTTCTCCAAAGATATCAACTGAATAAGCCAAAATAACATTTCCACTAAAATTTCTTAATCTGAGATGACGTAACTAGTACCGTTGTATAGCAAGTTCGTAGAATCTAATAAAATAAATGAAGATAAACTGTACAATAATTGTAAGTCCATAATGTGAACTAGGAAATGCACATGGTGCTACTATTTTCTGATTCAAATTAGTTTCCCATATACTCTAGCAGATGATAGATATCTCTCAGGAGAACAAGGAATCAGAAGTACACGATATAGATGCAAGGGAAGAGTTAAATTAATGTACGTATTCTACATTGTTACTGCTGAATATGCACACAAAATTATTCAACGCTGGCAAAATAATTCTAAAGATAGAAAATAGTCTAATGTTGGAAACAACCCATCCTAATTAAAACCGGAATAACTGGAATATTGTCTAGTAGGATATGTGCAGAATAGCCTGATTCGGCGATTTGCCTAGAGATTCTCAACAAGAGGGGACCCTGACATACAAGAACTGTAACGTACAGCCAATTGAAAACGTGTCATCATTTTTTCCTTGATATCAATTTCTCCGACCATAGTTTGGAAAATATTTTTCTATTCCACACTCTAGATGACTAGATCTACCATCCTCACTGTATCATGAACCATTTTGGTTGCAGTCTTGATTTTTCACAGACAAAAAAGAAATTTGCATCAAGACTAAGAACCCATAAATCAACTTTGCCTGTCTAACCTATTCTGCAAGAAATTGACTTCAAGCTGGTAATGTGTGTCTAAACTCAGAATTAAACAGGAAGCCAGTCTAGGGATGGCAATTTTATCCCTCCATGAGCCCCGCCACCCCAAACGGTTTCGGGCATTAAATGTTGCCCCGGGGTGGGGAATCCCCACACCACCCCGTTAGTCTAATCATTAAATTAAAAAAAATAAAAAATAAAAAAATTGTTTGAAATCATCCTATCACTAGTTTCTTATGCCAAACCCAAACTGATTAACCAAGCCCATTACCCACTTGCTCATAGAATTTACAAAATAAATAAATAAAGGTATAAACAGGACAGGGGATATCCCTAAGCCAGTAGCTTGAAGTGAATTTGGTAATGGCTGTAGGATACTCTACCAAGTTGTCTCCATGTTGAGACTGGAAGAAGTTTACGGTCTAAAACTTCTTCAGAAATTTGTTGCAGGCTATGCATTTTATCATTCTTCCTTTTTCCGTCCAATTCTTAGATGTATATGTATAAGTCTTATTATACTCTAAGAGAAACTGAGTTTCTAGGAATACCCATTGAGTTCTCTTGACCGGAGTGGATTAATTACACCCCCAACTGGGAATAGGAAAATACATAACGATTTGGCCAAGAAACAAGAGACCAGGGAAAAGAAAAAGAACACAGAAATAGATTACTACTTAAAGTCTTACTTTCTTTGGACGTTGAAGAGAGGAAAGGATCTCAGCCTCTTCCACTATTCCAGATATTGTAGGCAGATCTGTGTACGAGAAGATATCAGATGTTCCAGAATCAGTAATATTCATATCGTATGAAGGTAGATTAACTGTAAGGGATTTCTGGGTTGGCATAATGATTTCCACGGGAATCATCCTCTTCAAGGCACTAAATTCAGTTGATATATTGATTGTTCTTGTCTTTGATTGGCCTGGATGGAAGCACAACCGTATTAGATGATCAACTAGAGTAGCAAACTGTACAAACATGGAATTGGAACCTCCCTGAGAGGATCCTCTTTTTGCAGCTTGTATAATCTCTGCAGCAGCCTCCCTCCTTGACGGAACTGTGGATTTTGTAACTGCTGCCATGGTCCAAAGGGCTTGTTGTGGATATCGCCGGAGAATAGAAGTAATGATATGTTTCACCAAACGGACAGTTTCTTCATTTTGGTGGCAAATTCTTGAAACCAATTGAGGTAAAACAGTTAACCACTGGTAAGTTGGCAAATCCTTTAGACACCCTCTCATTATGCTCATGACCTACATTGTAAAAGGAAGAATGACAAAAGAAAGCATTGTAGTTGAGAAAATAAAGAGAAAAATTAATCGTATGCTTACTACCTTCCCATGGATATTCTTCATATCTTTATTCGATGATTGACCACTTCTGTGATAAATGCTCCCAAATTCAAACCACAATGTTAACAACCTTGGTAGAGCCTGAAATAGGTTCTTGTGGCCCCTGTGAAGCCCCTTCGCATAAAATAAAAGCACATCAGGAAGGTATGTCCACCACCTTCTCTCAGCGCTCGCATTTGTGGAAGCAACGAGAGATAAATTGGATGGAGTTGCTCTAGGAGATTGCTCAGAATTATCTTCCTGTCGTTTTCTAGCATCAACAAGCACTTCATCACAATATTTTGCCATATAGAAGTATCCTTTCTCCCACTTGGGCTGTAGCTCCTTCACCCTGGAATACAGACTTATCACATCTTCCTTCTGCTTTTGCCCAGTGTAATGAATCCACCTGGAATATAGGAGGAGTGTCTTTGCTACATCTTGATTATCATTCATAGATTCGACATTGCAAAGTAAAGGTTGAGGGTTCAAAGGAACTACTGAGAGGCTGGTGATTGATGAAATAGCAGCAGAGCCAACGACATCTGTAGGCATGTTGAGAAGGGATTGTTGCAGCTCTGCAATAGCACCATCAGCTCGCCTAGTGCTCCACAGAAGCTTAGCCTTTTCGATGTAAACATTGGGAGCACCTGCAGCCTCGGCTTCCAAAATTGCCCGATTCGATGTCTCATAGTGACCAGCCGAACGACAAAGCTTCGCATATTGTATCCAGCAATTCCCAACTTGAGCACCAAGACCACTGGCACCAAAAACAAGCCTCCGGAAGGCCAACAGGGGTTCCCTTGCCCAGAGAGATGGTGGACTGAGTTTGAGCCGACTGTCCCAATTTTCCAATACCTTTGAGAATTCCGGTTCGCTGATATCAAAAGTTCTTTCCAAGAAAGACTTGCCATTGAGGAGAGAGTTGAAATCCTCAAGCTCCCGAAGCATGTGAAGCTTTAGAGCAAATGGATACGCGCGTGCATAGGAATCCATCCCAGCAGCAGCCAAAGGAGCAATCAAAGATTGTTTAGACAATGCAATTTTCTCAGCAAGTGAAAATTGATCTTTATTCATTATTGCCTGAAGAATCTTTGCAACATCCATGTCAAAGAGAGCATTGCTTTCCGAGCTGCTACAAAGTAAACCTTCTTCATCAGCCCCAGTCAGGTACTCATCCATCAAGTCCCACCTGCCGAGTCTCCATGCAGCCTGAACACCTTGCATGCACCATGTTTTCTTGTATTGAGGAATCCTGGAAATTAATCCATCCACATGAGTAACCATGGCCTGCAAATGACACATGTTTAGCAAGCAGTTAAGGACATCTGAATGCCTCTGAACAGAAGTAGGTTCCATCTGCAAAGCCTGCTCACAAAAAGTCAACACTTCAGCCCAATTTCCTGCTTTTTTATTTATTAGAAGATGGTCTTGTAAGCTCTTTGACTTTCGTAAACATGCTAAACCTGATAAGCCATCAGGCTCGTCTAAACCACTGTATATTTCCATTAGAAATGAAATGTCCTCATCCTCGAAGACACCACTCCTTTCAGAAGCTGGATTGAATGATCCTGACTTTTCCCGCACATAAGACTCAAAGTACAATAAAGACCTGGCATAAGCCTGACACCTGAAAGATGCCTTGGCAAGGGTCATTTTAGGAATTGCATCCAAGAGCTCTGAGACATGTCTACACTGCACAAGCACCAGGTCCGAACCTGTTGGAAGACTTGTACTCTGATCCTTCAATTTCCCTGATTGTTGCTTAGAATTGGACAATTGAAGAGATTGGGAAAGAGCAAGTTCTTGCTCAACATCATCCACCCATTGGCCTAGATTGTCAAGAAGAGTAAACACAGCTTGAATGCAGACTTCACTTTGCCCAGAATTAATTCCTTGAACAGTAGCAGTGCTATTATCTGAAGTTGCTGCATCAAGAACTGATAGAATCTCCTCTGTTATGCCGTGGCGGGTCTCCTCAGTACCATCACAGACAGCATTCAGGACTAAATAAGGCAGAAGATACATTGCAATTTGCACATCATGGCGCACTATACCTCGACAAGCATTAAAAATAGTTGACCTAGGTCCTGTAGCATGCACTGTCAATTTTTTAATCCAAAAATATATCCATCTTCTGAAAGACATTGAAGGGCGATAAATATGACCAGAAGATGGCAAATCTGCATTTGGAAGCTGAAATCTAGATGTCAAGCAAGGTGCTATTATCTCTTTAACATAATTAGAGAAACGGTCCCACAATCTCTGACCCCTTCCGTACATTTCATTGTCATTATCCGCTCTCTTGGAAGATTTTGACACCTTCAAGGTTGGTTTATTTTGTAGTACTGAAAGTGAACCTAAAACATTCTCATCAAGTGATGCTTCACAACCAGCAAATTTTAGCAGCTCCTGAATAGCCAATGCAGCTGAATCTTGAATAATGGTGTCAGGTGCAGCTCTGAAAGCCCTGGCTAGATGCTTATGGATCAGCTCAAAAATTAAATCATCGTCTGAACATGCAATCTTAAACCGGATGCTTGTGTATCCCTTGACCTTGGCAGGATCTACAGCACCTAGCGCTCCAAGGCAATCAGCACATATCAATTTCAGCCGCTGTCCAACTGAGGTCCTTGATTCCTCTGCACACCCTTTAAGCAGTGATGTAATCAAAGAGCTCATCACATCTGTAACTACATCCCCTTCCTTACTGACCAAAGCCATGACATCCTCCCTTTTCAGGTTCAACAACTTGCTCAACTGAGATGCAACCATGTATCGGACATTCAAATTTTCATGATTCAATCCATCCACAACATCACGTAATTGATCCTTCAAGGACATCGATCCACGCGCTTCTTGTATTGCTTTGTTTACTTCTGCTAGAGAAGGAATGTCGGGTACAGGAGGTAACTCACTGATATGCTGTTTTAAAGCAACTTTATTCTGCAGCACAAGCTCTTCCAAGATATCAACAATCTTTTGCAAATTTGAAGAAGAATTTTCCTTCTCTCTCTCCAAGAAAGGAATCAGAGCAGCAAAAACTTGAGAGATCACATGCTTGGTACTAGAAGGTGACACCAAAGCAAGTTGCTTTATGAAGAAATGCAAGACGGCAAGACCCTCACCCTGAAGCCATTCTTTATTAATGGCATGCATGAGAAGAACCATAATTTTTGGCACATAGGTGCTGAGATGGGAACCCATCAAATTAGTTAGCATCTCTATGCGTGTAATGGCCTGTTTTTGCAATGCCAGATCCTCTGCATGGAGCATTTTTCTATCAATGCTGTTAAGCAGACCAACAAAATGATTTTTTAAAAATCCAGGAAGATCTTCATTACCAGTCAGAATTTTTGCAACTTCTTTTATCATCTGAGGTACCCTAGCTAACCTGAGAAAAATGGATGAAAGCAGTAACATATTTTTCCTTCAACATGAAAATGAAAATCATGGTGAAGTTCCACAAAAAATGGGGTAAGTAGATAATAAAACGAAATGCCATTTGAAGTAAAAACCTAATCACAGTCCGGATAACTAATTTGACAAGTACTAGTTACCAGCTTGATACACTTTTCAAACTGATGGAACATTTTATTTGTCCCCCCCCCCCCCCCCCCCCCCCCCACACAAAAAAAAAAAAAAAAAAAAAAACACACAAAAAAACACACAAAAACAAACCATTTTTGGTCTGCTTGCAAGCCTCAGAGACAGATAATCATAAAGTTCATTTCGAATATGCAGAGCTTTGGCAAGGAGCGGTTCAAATCCTCCTTTATGATGAATGTAGCAGGATCTTTTAATCAATTTTGATGCAGTTAACCTCACAGTCACATGAGGACTATCAAGCTGACCAATCAATAAAATAAGAGAGAACAAATAAAATTGACTGTAAATACTAACAGCTTGCATGATGGCTGCTGTGGCTTCCAGAAGAGTCTCAAAAACCAGGGGATCTTCAGTTGACATCAGAGCATGTTTTATTTTATCCATGAACCTCTGTTCTTTGGATTTATTCACATCATCCTCATTTAAGAATAAACAATTCAAAACACGGTCTTCAAGGAAGAAACTAATCTGGGCACAGAATGCCTGTCTCACAAGCTTTTTCCTGTGAAGGAGTAAAAAATCAATGCATCTTACCCATTCAGATCTAGTTTTAAGCAGAGTTTCTTCAGTTCCATGCAGAAGGATCCGCTTAATCATTCCTACACAGGCAACTTGAACTTCTTCAGATGATTCATCAAATAGGAGCTTGAAAAGGAGGGACTGCAAATGGATATAATTACAACTCAAAAGAAATTCTGTATTCTGGGTGTTAGGCAGATGTAGCACTGTTAAATACGATCCATGATTTAGAGAGACTCTTTGGTCACAGTTTGAACACCAAAATCCTCGCAACAGATAATCTACTGAAAAGTTTTGATTCTCCATTTCCTTCTTCAAGTATAATTTGCATTCACTTTCATACAGTCCAGCTACACCATTACAGGCTCCATAGAAGCATGCCAAATAACCAATACAGAGGGGAATGACTTTCTTAACTTGCTCATTTTTCTCTTTTTCCAGAATTCTGAATAAAAAATTAAGCATGAAGTTATTAGCACATTAAAATGAGCATTGCTAGTCACAATGTCCAATTGTCTATGAGTCAGGTCATTGATTTTAGAGAAATTTGCAGTGAAGGTCCCCAAACTTTAAAAAAAAAGTGAAGCATGGTCCCAAACCTTTCAAAAATGTGTAGTAGATGGACCTCTGTGGACAGTTTCTGTCCAAAGATCCGTTAGTTGACCAAAAGTCAAGCATTTGACCTTAATTTGACCAATTTTAAAAGCACAAAATGGTAACTCTACATTTTCCCACTTTAAAAATAAAATAAAATAAATGAGAGAGATATTTCTTCACCCCAGTCCACCCCACAGCACCACAACCAAACCAAAGGCAAGCCACTCATAAAACCCCCTGCTCCACTAATACACAGGCCACCACCCAAGACTTCAATCACCACCAACCACAAACCCACCAACTAGAATCACCGCCGCCACCACATCTGGGATCTTCAAAAAGATAGAAAATAAAGAACCAATCTTCAGTTTACTGATGAGCTGTATGATTGATAACAGCAGAAAACCTTTTACATTTTGCCTGAGAATTCATGAACAGTATTTATGTGTGTGTTTGAAATCAGTAAACAACTGAAATATGAAATCTTCTATGAGGCAACTTCATTTCTGCGAGAAGTTTATTTTTGGGAGTAAATAACTCAGCAAATTGCACAATTGATTTACCGCAGTAAATTTGAAAAAGATTATGCACTGGCACATTAATCTGTCCAATTTTTATTCGTCTTCTTCAAGGTAATGTTTGTTATTTATCTGGAAAAGTGAGCAATAATGTCGGATTGCAGTGCGAATGAGACCGTGAATCTTCTAGAGAAACTATAATAAGAAAAACCCACAAGAAATTTAGAGAATTTAAACTAGAACCATTTGATATAGCCAGAAGAAATTTAGACTGAAGCATTATTGAAACGATCAAAGAAATTTAGACTGAAGAATTATTGAAACAATCAAAGTAATTAAACCCCATCTGATACGAAATTAATCATATTTTACTGTTCCAAAAATTAAAGCCCTCCAGTTGATCAAATTTCAAAGCAAATTGGATAGCAGATGTACTCCAGGACAGAAAATATTGAGGGTACAGCTCCTCATTATGCAGAAATTTAAAATGGAGCTGATTACTAACATGAAGAACAAAGACAAAACCAAAAGAAGACAAAAGACAATGATGGCTGAAGTGATGCCCACAAGAAAACTAAAGCGTTTCAGGGAAGAAATGAGGGCTTGTGGTCAAGAAAATGAAGAAGCCACAAATATAGCTACAGCATGAAAACATTGACGCAGAAATAAGTCATCCGCTAAAGAAGTACCTCAGCATGCAAAAGCATTACTTTGACATTGGCACAGTATGATTGAAATGTGCATTAAAACATTGACGCAAAAATAAGTCATCCGCTAAAGAAGTACCTCAGCATGCAAAAGCATTACTTTCACAATGGCATAGTATGATTGAAATGTATAAGTTGATTCACCTTACTATTAAGATCAATATACGTGCTAATATTAGTATACAGATAAATGTAAAATTTCACTGTTCACTTACTCCAGCCTGCTGAACATATGTGTCAGGAAACCAAAACCAGAGCTCAGAACAATCGCNCACTGGTTGCAAAAGATCAGCACTATCACCCTCACATTTCAAGAGCATAGGGTTATTCTCTGCAGGAAGTGATCCTAAATAAATAAAATACATGTGATGTGTTATGTAACATAAGACACAGAGTACAATAGAGATTTGTGTTAACAAGCAAGAAACTCAGAAATCTAACAATGACTAGTAAACAAAAGGGTATCATAATGTGGAGATCCAGATACCATCTAAACCTTAAAACTCTCCAAGTTCAAATAACAATTCCTAAAAAGGAGATAATGATACTAGGTACTAATGCTTACAGATGTACCTTCTTAGGTCATTCTGTAGCTATTACTACCAAGCTATAATTGGAAAGCGGCATAAGTTAATCGTGAATAAAGCACAACACCGAATTTGCATAATCTCATCTAAAACAATATGAACAGGAACATAGATAAAACATATGCTTACCAATAACAATTCCATTACCTTGCAAGAGCAATAAGCTGTCGACTGCTTCCAGAAATATGGGCAAATCAAGAGAGAACAGAAGTTCTTGCTTTGCCTGGAAAAACTATCCAAAGTCACAAAGAAACACAGTGCAGATTTTAAAGAACAATAGATGCAAAAGAAAAACACTAACCTGCTCAGACATCCAAGAAATCCAGTCACACATCTGCCGAAATATGCAACAAGAAAGATTGGATTGAGGGTTATCAGAAAAAACAATACAAAGTGTGCTTAGAGCTGTTAAGGCGACTTCTGTCATTAATGGATTGGAGTTCTCTCTAGGAGGTTTTAGAAGTTCAACAAATAAACTTAAGGAGGTACGCATATAATCAGTGTATTCCTGTTTCCCTGGCCGAGTAAAACTATGAGCAAACTGGCTCAGTTCTTCACAATATTTGCTCGGATCCTTACATTTATCATCTATCTTTTGTCGCTTTGTATGCGTCGTGTCTGGGTCCTTAATTGGTCTTTTCCCCCCAATTCTTGAACTATCATCTTCATCATCTCTTGATGTCGATAAACCTGTATCATTTTCATCAGATATTCCACTTCCAACAAGATCAGGACCAAGCCTGGATACAGCAGCCTGAAAGCAGTCTATCAATGGAAAAATAGGCTTGGATGAGCAAAGCACATGAATAAGACATTCTGGCCTCCAGATATGTGGAGGGCAACTTTTAACTATCCGCATATAGGCACTGCACAAGCCAACCTGAAATTTTGTAGAAAAACGAATGTCTAATATATTAGAACAGAACTGCCAGCCAGATATTTAAATGTACCATGTACCAAGTCTGATTGACTCCAAAATCTAAATGCAAAAGCTCGTAGATAACATGACCATACAGACCTACACAATGGATATAACATCATACTGGCAGAAAATAAAATTATTACAAGCAGTAGCTGTTGCGAGCATATTATTGCAAGAGTGACTGTCATCGATATAATGAGCTAACCTTAAGCTCCAGGCTCCTTGTTTTCAGCAGTGATTCAGGAAAGATGTGAACTAACTCTTGAGCTGTAGCATGCATAATGTCATCAGGACAACTAGAATGTAAGGCATGAAGGCTTCCCCCCAACGAAGAATCATAAACGGCACTTCTGCACTCAAAAGGCTGGTATTTGTTAGAGAAAATAACCAAGAGGGTGCAGTTTCAATAGCCAAAGTTACTAAATGAAGCAAGCAACCACAAAGATTTCTAAAAACAAACATCAGACAAATATAAACCAAGTGCCAATAAAATCCAGACGGCAGGAAAGAGAATGCAAATTGATATGGTTCTCCAAGTTTAAAATCATCAAAAACTGTAAAGCCAGTCAAACTAATTTAAAGGGAAGCAGTGGGATAATTAATTAAAAAAGAAAATTTACATGAAACCATTCAACAAAACTATTATTTGCCTTACGAGTAACTTTTGTCTAAATCAACAACAATCCTTGCATTGCTAGGAGTAACAAGCATTACCACTGGACCTGAAGGTATTATCAGTATGGCAAGTGATCCTAGCCCTGGACATGGCCATGATCTAAAAAAAATAATGAAAGAATATGTATATCATGTATCCAACCTGTTCGACAGCATGGCTGCTTGCAAATTCCTCTTGAAGAAATAAAATGGCTTTACAGGAGGTACACAAACTCAAGCTCTAAAAATATTTCTTCTACACGACAGAAATAATACTAGAGCCTCTCTCCTAGTTGTAGATTTTATTTTTTTTGGAAAAAAAAAATGGAAACCAAAACCAACACAGAGAAACGAAATTCAGTAACTAGTCCATTCTAAGCATTTGAATAAGCATAAAGCAGAAATTTTGTACACATAACAATTTTCACTTGGAAATGCGATAGAAGCACAGGCAGATCATGAGAATACCTGAATACTGAAACACCCTCCACAGCTTCGCTTAAGATAGTAATCATTGACCGAATTAAATTTTCAATGGGAACAATGTCATTGTTTTTGCCTGCTCCAATAAGGCGCGCGAAGTCAAAACATGCCTTCATAAAATTTGGGAAGTTAGACATGTAATATTAGGCAAACACTAAAGCATACAGTACAGCAAAAAGAAGTTCTGAAGAAACAGCACCAACTTGCTGTGAAAACTACCAACCATATGCAGATCATCATCTCCATAGGACAAAAGGGTGCAGACAGCCCAAGCAGATGAAGCATCCAGGAGTCCTTCAACATATAAAGTTCCTTCAGTTAGGCATTTACAGAGAAGCTTGATGGCTGAAGTAGCAAAAGGTAGCCACCTATCCTTCCCAGAGAGATTGATCAATATTCCATAGCCATTTGAAGGCTTGCTACATGCTGGAAGATCGCTGAGAAGAGCATTTTCATTTCCAATTCCAGCAAAAGAATCACGGAAACACTTCACTGACACTTTTTTAAATTCTGAAGAGCTTGACTTGTCACTAATTGAAGCTACATAGAACAGATCTACAAAAAAAAATAAAAAAATAAAAAATAAAGAGTGAGAGAGAGAGAGAGAGATGAACCAGCTTAATTTAATGCTTAAAACAAGGCTGTGAAACAAGCTTGTGGAAACAATTCTTTTTCGTTCAAATCTAACCAAGTATGTAAAGATGATGCCAGTGAACTATCTAGGATAAAGCAATTTTATATTCCATGAAAATCGAAAAGGATTACTCTAGGTGTATAGGCTCTGAACTTACAGAGCTCTAACAGACCACTCCCATGGAGGTCAAACCCACGTGGGCCCCTGTGTAATAAACTATGACCAAAAAAACTGCCTTCCCTACCCATTGTGAGTACCCGTAGGATGTCTATAAAATGGAGACCCTGTACTCCCAGCATGGTCCAATCGAAAAACCAAAATGATTATACCCTCATCTAGGATAAAGCAACACTCGTCACTCCTCTGTTGAATCATCTTCCCACCTTCCTCCATTCGCCTAATGAGTAAAACAAATCAAATCCACCCTATATAAACACTTGCAGGTGGTGTAAAGCTACAATCCTTCATTTTTCTTCCTAAAAATTCTTTCTTGAACCCTGTCCTCTGATTTCTTGAATTTCCCCATAAATCTTTTAATGAAGCCCATAAAAATTCACTTGATGTAAGCAAAATCCCACATTCGGTATGGGTTTTACACAAAAATCCCTTATTTGATAGCACAGCAATTTAATTCAACTGAACCCGTTTCAGATTTTTTTTTTTTTTTTTTTTTTTTTTTTTTTAATTTGATAATGCAACAAAGGAAAGACGAGGAAATTAGGTGATTAATGAGTGAAAGATTAACATACCGGAATGAGGGCTCAGCAAAAAAGGGCAAAATGCGACCGATAACAGGAAGCACTGCGCTAGCCTTTCCGTGATAGAAAACGCCCGGGAAATTCTTGGCAGTGTGTGCCAATAGTTTTAGTACAGCAATCACCTCTCTCTCTTTCGCTACAAAAAATTTAAAAAAATAATAAAAAAATAAATCACATAATATGCAAATATATTTATACGCAGAGGAGGTGGGTACCGCCGTACCGGAGGAAGAAGGGACGACATAGGCGTGAAGGAGGTTGGGGAGGACGGCGCGGAATCGGGACTCTAAAGCGTCGTCGTTTTGGTTGTTTAGAGGAGTGGATGACGAGGCCGCTATGCGTTCTCGGAGCTCGTGCACTAGGCTTGAAAGGTTCGCCATTCATGCCCGATAGTGAATTCTTAGTGACTCCCACTCTGAAACTTCTCTCAAACGAGATAATGCTCGCTGATTTGCTTTCCCTCCTATTTCGAATTGTACATCGTGCCTTGTCGGTATAATACAGAAGGCGCGCTTTTTGTCGATTTATTTATTTTTATTTTTATTTTTTCATTTTTTAAAGAGGTTGGACAATATGAATTAATAATTATGCCCCCGTTTGAACCCCACTAATTTTCATTATATTACATTACAATTCATTTTTCTCATTCCTATTTACAACTACACAATCTTCCATAAAATAATATTACACGTAAATTGAAAATTTTTCCTTCTTTTTCAACCACTCTGAAAAGTCTATAGTTCAACCCAAACAACACCTAGAGGGGGGTGAATAGGTGTTTATGCGGAATTTAACAATTTAATTAACTTATGCAACATGTCACATAAATTACGCTTTGTCCAGATTCATTCACATAATTTAGCTACCTAAGTTGAATTGCCGGTTGAAATCAAAACAACAGAAAGCAGTAAAAACGCAACAAAATGTTTACGAAGAAAACACAACTGGGTAAAAACCCCGGGCACAAGCCAGTAGGTATCCACTATAGAAGATTTCGACTTACAGTACGCCAGATATTATTGACTCTAACAATGCTCTGACCTCATTACTGTATCAACCAAAGCTCTCCTAGATTTTACAGATCGGCGCCAAAATCCCAGCCTTGAATTTCTTTTATCTCCCGTGAATCACCAAGCACTCCATTTCTTCAAGCAGTTTCCTTCCCGGATCTTCAAACAGATGATCTTCTGGAAGTTGATATGGAGATTTGAATGGTGTTTTGGTTTTGTGAAGGTTGATATTTTTCTTCAATGAATCGTAAGATGAAAAGAAATAATTTAGCTCTAGATCCTTTGGTTGCAGAGAGAAATTGTTATTTGTGTGTTTGCCAAAGGTTTTTAATGAAAAACGGAATTTTTGTTTATGTAGTAGGTCGTTTTTGGTAGTAGGGATCGTTTAAAATTCGTAAGGAAGGAAAATTACCAAAAGCCAGATAACACTGTCGCTCGAGCGAAGTGCTGGCGAAACTCGAGCGACCCCTCAACGAAACTCTAGCGACAACAGTTCTGTTATTTAGGCTCGAGCGAAGTCAGGGCGAAACTCTAGCGAGATCAACGCGTCGTTTGCATCTTCAAAGCATCCAACTTTACCATAGACCTATGCTATAAACTTTGCAAAATTGCAACATAAGTCCCTGAACTATTAGAACTTTACAATTTAGTCCTTGACTTTACAAATATGACAAATTGGTCCTTTGGTCACAGATTGCCAATTACAACATTTTCCTAACAAACTCCCCCTTTGGCATTCTGTAACAAAATTAATAAGACAGTCAAGGATAAAAGTAAATGTGACTCTAAACGACCTATCTCTTCAACCAAAGCAGCTATCACTTGTTGAACCTGTTTCCTGAAATCCAGAAACTCAAATACCAAATGTAAAAGCATGTGAAATGGAAACAGTAAATAAAAATAAGGAACAGTGCATATGTCATTAACCAGATTAAGAAGCAATATTAATGTAAGTCAAAAACACCAAAAACATACATCAATATTGCCAAAACATCAAAAACTTAATCTAGTCATGAAATATATACAAAATCATCGTTATATCATAGTTAACAAAAGAATTGATATATATCTATCCAATATCCTACCTATCCAATATTTACTCCCCTTTTTGTCACAAATGACAAAGGATCAAAAACAACAAACAAACTACGAGGTAGCACCTCCTGAACCTGAAGACTCATCACCAGTCTCGTCACTCGCGCTCTCCTCCATGCTATCACGAATCCAACGCAAATGACGCTGACACACAGCAAGAGCACGCCGAAAAGTAGAAAGCTTAGCTGACTGACACTCCGAAACAGCACGTAACTGCGTGATCTCTGCCATCATGCGTGCCTGCTGCTGGACTAAAGTAGACATCTGACCCATAAGCGTCACCATGGGGTCAACAGGCAAGGCAGCCACCCTGGAGCAGAAGTAAATGTCGAAGGAAAATCCGAACGAGGCGGAAGAAAGACACAGGAACCCCCAGTAAGAATATCAGTAATAGGATCAAAGGGCTCTGAAAAATCAAAAACATCAATGGGCTCAGCCTGAGCGGCAGCATGTGCAGAAGAGGAAGAAGACGGGACATGGGATCGACTCTGGTAAATGGTCTGCTGTCCTATCGGGTGACCTATACGAGTAGAAGACCCCTCAGGAAAAGAAGCACCCAGAGATAAAACAACTTTATGAATTAGACAAGCATAGGGCAACCCTATCCGACCCCCAGGAGTACGAAACGAAGCCAGAATCTGCTGGCACACAAAACTAGGTAGGTCGATAGAATCCCCATGAAGAAGGGCATAGAGAAAACGGGCACTCACCATAGGTAACGAAGAGGTATGGGTAACAGGCCACAGATTTGTGCACACGATGCGCAACAAAACCTGTCGATCAGTGGGTAATGAACCCGTGGCCATAATCGTAGGCCCCCAACAGGCGGGGTGTTCAAAAGAGTCGACCGAACAAGGGCATCGGCCGGAATAGAAGCAGGTAGAATATAAGGATAAGTCGGCTGACGGAGTAACTCTAAAAGAATGACCCCTAAGAAAAACCTTAAACGACGAGCCGTCTACATCGTGAATATTAGCATAAAACTCCTGAACAAGAAGTGGGGGCGGAGGTGAAAGACCAACAAGAAGGGGCTCCCAACTCCGGGAAACAAAAATAGCGACGATGTCAACAGGAAGGTCAGATAAGATTACCTCACGCTCCATGAGAACTGGGTGTAAGGAGAACTGAGAAGTAAAGACCTCCTAAGCTGTAGCAGAAATAAATCTGATTCTACTATACGACGTCGAACCACTAGCTGGCTGTGCAGAGGGTCGAGAACGCTTACGGGCCATCTAGCACACGTGGAGATGGAAATAATAAGTAACACGAAGAACGCACGTACTACGGTGCAATATGAGATGAAACAATACACACACGGATGAGGCACGAAAGAAATGCATCGAGAAACGTAAGCAACCCCAAGAACGAACCAACCATAACGGAGAGAGAGTCAAAAATATGTGTAAACAAAGACCCAACACGGCACAGGACTACAATTAAACAAGGAAGAAAGAACGAAAGGAAAAGAAACCAAATGAAACAAAGGAATCGAAAAAAAATATAAAGAAGGACTTTCATCGAACATGTGACGGGCGCAACTTCGGCACACAATTCCAAGCACATACGAGACCCAATCACAACACCAAGCACATTCCAACAAACTACAATCTAAGGACTACGCAACCAACCAAACCACACACCAAACGGATGAGTATAACGCAAGAACGACCTCGGTGAAAAACACGAAAAACACATAAACAAAAAATCAAAGAATAAATAATGTAATGGAAATATTAATGTAAAATGCGGTGAAGAGCAACAAACACAGCAAAGGCATGCACGAACACCAAAAAACGTAAGAAATAATGAAGCAAAAAAATAATAATAATCAAAACACAATAGGAAAGGAGAAAGACACGAAGAAAAAAATACCTCAAATTCGAAGTGAAGAAATGGAAATTCGGAAGAAGAATTGTGTTAGGGGCTTCGAAATTGGTCAATAAACAAAGTAATGGGGAGAAGTTTGAATGAAATCAAGAAGGAAAGCAAAAAACGAGAGTGAAAATGAAGAAATTGTGCGAAAAAATGGAAAACAGGGCTTTTAAACCTGATCTGTCGCTCGAGCGAGGCCTGGGCGAAACTCGGGCGACAAGCAATCTGCTTTTGTCGCTCGAGCGAAGTCCAGGCGAAACTCGAGCAAAAACGAATTGTCACAAATAGCACCAAAAATTTGAATGTTAAAAAAAATAGCACAAAATTCAAAAAATAATGAATTTAGCCCCAAACCGTGTATTTTCAAAATCAAGAGAATTTCTTAACACCGAAAAATAATCCCAAAATTCAAAAATGAAGCATGTAACCAAATATGTAATCGATACGAACAATAAGCATAAAATCACAAACCCGACATTCAGAGCACATAGACAAAGCTTAAGCCCACACAGAGTTCAAAATTTCGTGGAGTAAAGTGTATACAGACCATCACCGTGAAATGTGCCACGTAGTCCATTCAAGTTAGACTCAAAACCTTAAATTAATGAGAAAGGACACGTGAAAACAACCGGACAAAGGTGTAAATCGACCAAGTGACAATCATATCCAATTCCACGAGGACCTAAATCAAGCAGTACGATTGTCACAATTTTACTCTCCCTAACAGTATGCTCATTTTTTTGTTTTTTTGTTTTTTTAATTATTTTTTTTTGTAAATAATATAAGAACTTAAGTGCAATACTATCCTCATTAGGCGACATAAATGACCCCGGTAACAAACTTTGGGCCTGTGACTCCCAAGTCAGAAGACCATAAGGCACCAGGTTAGAAACCCCTCAGGCTTAATTGTTCGAGTCAAATAGGCCCCGAAGACAGTCATAAGTTCAACGAATAGCACAATAAAAGTGGGAAAAGATAATATTGATTAGGTTACACTCGTCCCAGATCAAGTGAAATGGACATACAACCCCAATCACAAAAGAACACCGTCCCAAATCTCACCCATGCGGACAAGACTCACTTACAGGACTACAATGTGAGCGGTGCGAAAATGAATGACGAGCCATATACCCGGCACTCCACAGACAAAGAGAACGATGATGGAACCTTAAACTCGTACATATGATGAAAAACAGAGTTCGATCCTAGATGCAAATGCCATAATCGTCACACAAGAGGCACAACCAAGAAAAATCCCCCTTTTTTTCTTTTTTCTTTTTTTAAACACACACATAATACATAAAATAAAACTAAACGACAAGCAAACAATCAAAAAGCACCACACACACATAGATCACATGCAAGATATGAAGTAACTAGGTGCAGATGTGATGAATGCATGAATATGCAAGAGTCCACGATTAGATAGGCAAACAAACACCAACAACCGTCCGAAGCGATTCAAACCTCAACCCATCCAGTGGTTTCGTAAGTA